TTTTGACTTCCCACTTTAGCATTCCAGTCCCCTATAATGATAAGGACATTTTTTTTGGTATTAGTTCTAGGAGGTGTTGTAGGTCTTCATAGAACCGGTCCACTTCAGCCTCTTCTGCATCAGTGATTAGGGCATAGACTTGGATTACTGTGATGTTGAATGGTGTGCCTTGGAATCGGACTGAGATCATTCTGTCGTTTTTGAGATTGTATCCCATTACTGCCTTTCTCACTCTCTAGTTGACTATAAAGGCCACACCATTTTTTCCATGGTATTCTTGGACACAGTAGTAGATATAATGGTTTTCTGGGTAAAATTCGCCCATTTCCACTTTGGTTCACTGATTTCCAAGATGTCGATGTTCAGTCTTGCCATCTCATTTTTGACCACATCCAACTTACCTTGATTCATAGATCTTACATTCCAGATTCCTATGCAGTATTGTTCTTTGCAGCATTGGACTTTCCTTTCACCATCAGACACATCCACAGCTGAGCATCCTTTCGGCTTTGGCCCAGCCACTTCATTCTTTCTGGGGTTACTCGTACTTGCCCTCTGCTCTTCCCCAGTAGCATATTGGACACCTTCCGACCTGAGGGGCTCATCTTCCGGCATTATATCTTTTAGCCTTTTGTTACTGTCCATGGGGTTTTCTTGGCAAAGATACTGTAGTGGGTTGCCATTTCCTTCTCCAGTGGATTACGTTTTGTCTGAGTTCTCTGCTGTGGCCTATCCATCCTGCATGGCCCTCCATGGCACAGCCTGCAGCCTCATTGAACCATGCAAGCCCCCTCACTATGTCAAGGCAGTGATCCATGAGAGACACACATAAAGGGGAGAAGATAGCAAATCTGTGACAGGAGGATTAGGAATTGATTATAATTGGTCAAAGTGAACATGTGAACACATGAAACTGCCTTATACTGAATCCGACTCTTGGTCCATCAAAGTCAATATTGTCTACTCAGACTGGCAGCGGCTCTCCAGGGTCTCAGACGGAGGTCTTTCACATCACCTACTGCCAGATCTCTTAACTGGAGATACCAGGGATTGAACCTGGGACCTTCTGCATGCCAAGCAGATGTTCTACCACTGAGCCACGGCCCCTCCCCAAAAAGGCTCCTAAAAGGACATAAAATCTACTAAATACTTTATGAACTACTTTATGAACAATTTCTTCTCCCTAGTTATTTCCCATTTTCCCACCATGATGTCTAATGTTGTTTTTCATATAGAAGCTTCCACTGACAAAGGAAGCTTCCATGTCAGTAAAGAAACTCAAAATTTATAAATCTAGTATGGAACACATGAGGAAAAATATTACCTTTTATTGCAGGAGAAGGGGGAAAATCACTAAGAAGCCTCTGTTAGACAGATCAGGTGACAGAAAGTCAGGCTTTTAAGTAATTTCCCTCTGTAGGATAAACAAAATCAACTTGAGAAGATACAAAGAAGTTCTTCACCAAGATGCACCTGAACTAACAATACACCACTGAATATGTCCTCTGATTGCAAACTTCATATTTGGCCATCAGTAATCTATTGACCATCTAGAGATTAAACATATACCTAGCAATGCTAAGAACAGTTGCCTTGCTAATAAACTGCCCAGCAGCCCTGTATAAATCATGCTTGATTGTATCAGGAACTTATCAGCCTACTCCAACAAAGCCATCCTAGACCAATCTGGCTTTTTTTTCCCCTTGTTGATCTCTGTAAGATGCCTACTTGAGACTCATCCCTGATTTCTTGTCCCCTTAAATTTGGGACAGGAAGTGAGAAAGGTAACCTGGGAGGAGAGGCCAATAAGCAGGCACAGATCTGACCCAAGCACCTAAATTCCTACAGCCAGCTCTGATTAAATGTAACTACATTCTATACTCTAAGCAGTAAAACAGCTATCACAAATACTGATATAACCTCTCTTTGAAAGTTAACTATCCCTAAATAAGCCATGGTCCTTGGCTGTTTAGATTTTCCCCCTCAATTTTAACAGTGTCTTTAATTTACAGGAAAAAGGCCTGGAAAGTTCTCTGCGTGCCACGGAACAGCAGTACCAGACTCAGCTAAAACATTTAGAAAGAGAGATTGAAGGTTTAGAGAAAGAGCTACAAGACGTGCGGCAAGGCATTGAGAAACAGCTGCAGCAACATGAAGAATTACTGAACACTAAAATGAGGCTTGAACAAGAGATAGCTACATATCGCAGTCTTCTGGAGGAGGAGGAGGAAAGGTACCTGTATCCCATTTTCAAATATCCACAACATAGCCACTGTTCTTTGAGCCACATTATATATTATGTATTTCATTTCTTCTATTTATATTTTGCTTCTTAGCCAAAGATCTTAAATGACTAGTACTGCTTCGAATTGGATCAAGCTGTATTCAATCATTTATCTAATTCTGAACTGGGCCACAGAGTATAGATCAATATATCCACAAAATTGAGCTAGGAATGAATAGGGGGATTTTCTCTACAAACCTGAAAGTCTGATGTTTGTAGAAAACTCTGAAATCTAAAATAAAATACATTATTAGAACCCCCCCAAAATAATAGAAACAGCACCTGTAGCTTTAAGAAAAGAGTGCCCACTGAGCTTTCAGTCACCATTTTGGAGGTTGCTAGGCAATCACAATATTGCTGAGCCTGGCTTCTGTCAAGCAAAGTGGGGGGATGGACTTAGAGGCCAAAACTGGGGCTGGCCCATTGGGCCTGGCTCAGCAGAGGCCACCAAACTCAGCCAGACCTTTCTCATGAAAAGCTGCAAGGGTGAGGGGAAAGCTGAAGACACTGGAGTGGATAAAAGGTAGGTTGGCTTGTAGGTGGGAAGAACAGAAGAAAGCAAGAAAAGGGCAGAAGCTGTGAGAGATGCTAGGTAAGAAAAAGAGGAAATAGTGGAGGGGGGAACAGGGGAAAATTAGATGTCCCCAGCAGGTCTTTACAGGTCCCCAGCTCATTAGTTTCTTAATCCACACATGCACAACCAAAAATATTCATGATGCTTCATGTAAAACAGCGGGTATGCTTTTTCTTACACAGAAGTCCTTTTAACTGGCGACGTTGCAATGAGGACCTGACAAGTTCAGCATGGATTCAGGCAATGAACTGTCCAGCATATGCAATCTCACCCTGTACATAACTCATCCATTACAAGTATTCATGGTTTTTATTCTCTTAGAAAGATACAACTATGGACCATTCTTATAATTTCTTCCCTTTCCCCCCTAGGTTTCATTGTTCTACACGCAAAGAAAGAAAAGAAGCCAAAAAGCCCACCACTAGCAGAATAGCATTTATCTTGCCTTCATGTGAGTTTTCTTAAAATCAGGCAATAAAATAAAGGAGAGTGCCCAATTTAGGCAAGGCCTCATTTGATCTGGATTCTCTAAGACAATCAGCCGCCGGAAACAAAACAAACAAAAATAGCCTCCAGTTTCTAGCATTAATAGAAACAAGGTATAAAACAATTCACACACATGTAATACACACTGGCAGTGTTCCCTCTAAGCTGAGTTTGTGTGAGCTGGCTCACAGTTTTTTAGCCTCTGGCTCACACATTTTTGTCTTAGCTCAGGAAGGATGGCTCCAGAGCAAACTAATTTATGCAGTAGCAAAATCGCTTGCTCACAACTTTAATGCCAGCAGCTCACAAAGTAGAATTTTTGCTCACAAGACTCCACAGCTTAGAGGGATCACTGTACACTGGGTGTCTGGACTAGCAAAGTCCCCACATGGCTTGAGGGTCTCAGGATCCAGTCCATCCAATTAGTCAAGATGACAAATATGAACAGAGGATGCTGGGGGGGAAGTGGAGTTTCACTCTTTTTCTTTCTTGTTTACCTGTTAAAAGTAGGGTACCTCAAGCTACTTCTCTCCTGTAGGGGGAGGGTTGCCAACCCTAGCTTGTGAAATGCCTGGAGATTTGTGGTTGGAGCCTGGGAAGGGTTTTGGGAGGGGACAGATCTCAGTGGGTTATAATGCCATGGAGTCCACCCTCCAAAGTAGCCATATGGTTCAGGAGAACAGATCTCTTTCATCTGGGGACCAGATGTAATTCCAGGAGATTCTCAGGCTCTACCTGGAGGTTGGAAAACCTAGGAAAAGGTACAGATTTTAGGTGGTTGTACATTTTGACCAAAAAAAACAGCCATGGGGAAAAAATAAGTGGCTCCTTCCCCCTCTCATCACCCCCTCTCACCCACTCCTAACTTTCAAGGCTTATAAGGGCTGGGGGTGGGGATACAGACCACTATGTGGCACAGCTCTTTTGGACCAGAACCTCTGAGTAAATAAAGAAACCACAAGAATGCAAGTGCAGGAACCATCTGAACACTGGATAAAGCAGAACAAATCATGTGACATATCTTACTTGGTAATTTAGTCTGTTGTTAAGTAGTCAGAAGTCTAATATTTTGTTGTTGTTTCTTCATTTATACAGCTAGCGAGCTGAAGAAGCATGAGATTGAAAAAGTAGAAATATTGACAAAGCAAGCGGTCTTAAATGGAGGTGCTGTGAAAGACAGTGCAGAAGCTCATGGCACGATACAGTAAGTAAAAAAAAAGCAAAACTGAGCACATAAAAGGTGTAGGCTTGCCAAGTAGCCCCTGACCACTTGCAAGGGATGAAGGGGTATGGTTGCCAGATTCAGGTTGGGAAACTCCTGGAGATTTGGGGATGGAGCCCGGGAAAGACAGGGACCTGAGCTGGGATACAATGTCATAGAGCCCACCCTCCAAAGTATTCATTTTCTCTAGGGGAACAGATCTCTGTAGTCTCTAGAGCTGTAACATCAGGGGATCCTCAAGTCCACCTGGAGGCTAGTATCCCTAAAAAACAGTAAGGAAACATTCTTTAAGTCCAGCCTTGAATATTTTGCTGCCTGTGAGACAAATTCCAAATTTCCTTTTCTGACTAATTGACATAGCAGTTGATACTACATCAGGAAGTTCTCTTGCACATACCTCAGAAACACAAATGAAAATTGTGCAAGACAGCATTAACAATGTCCAATTTCCTGTTGGCTAAAGCTGCCACATCACTTTGCCTCTAGGTTTGCTAACTGCCTGAAGAAAAAAATCCTGACCTTTGTCACTGAATCATTTTTCAGGCAGGGGATAAAGGCTACAGAGTGTAGATATGCTTGTAATTGCACTATGTTGTAGGATTTTATATTCAAACTAACCTTTGCCATTGTATATATTTATTTACTATTATTTATTTGGAAAAAATATAAGAATATAAGAACATAAGAGAAGCTAATGTTGGATCAGGCAAATGGCCCATCTGGGCCAACACTCTGTCACACAGTGGCCAAAAATATCAGGGGCCGAGGATGGACGGGAGGGCACAGCGCCTGCAGTCGCTTGAGAGCTGAGCTCTGGGCGATTGATCATTTCTTCAGACTTAAAAGGTCTCTGAACAATTACAGACTGCCCCACACTCCAGAAAAGGAGTAGTGGGGGGCAGGGGGCTTGAGCTGAGGTCCCAGCGAGAAGGCAACTCACTGGGAGACCTAATTAGCTCGCTCTGAAGCAAGACGGAGGAAGAAGCTCACTGAGGTGGGCAGAGCTGTGCTGCCGTGAATCAAGAGGCTGACAGGCGAATTTTAAATTGAGCACAGAAACGTGAGTGAAAGAAACAGCTCTGTGTTCTCAAAGTAAAGACTGTTGTATTTGAAATCCCCAACAGACTGGGAACATCTCCCTAATTCTACTTAACTGGCCAGAACAGAAAGGGAGAAATTTCCAACTTGAGCTGTGTTTTGGCAAAGTAGAGGGGAAACGGAACAGCTGGGGAAAAATACCGTCAAACTGCTAATAGAAGCACAAGGAAAAATTAAAGAGATATTTTTATAGAGAAGCCATGGAGTTTGTGGATGTATAAAGAGTTAGCAAGTCCTTACATTTTTCTCCGATCTGAATTTTTCCCTCCACTAGGAGGGGGGCAGGAGGCCCATTATAATTAGTGGGGTGAAGTGGTAGAGCCAACCTGAAAATTTAATAAAGACTAAAAGTGCTTGCTATGTCCATAATTGACTATAATTGACTATTGAGGGTTTTAAAACTGACTCCCCCCCCCCAACGGAGCGTAGATGTGCATGGAACAGCTGGGAAAAGATGGTGACCTTGAACAAATAATAACAAAGTCTAGGCATGTGGCCAAGGGATACTGGTGACTCTCCAGCACTGGGCAGTGAACCAGAACTGGGCTTAAACCATAACACAGAGATAACAGAATCTGGGAAGTCAGCCAGATGGGGGAAAAACAATAAATAAAGAGACAATAGTAACATTGGTTAGAATTTGTATAAAGCTCAGAGAACAATCAGCAAAATGTCAACTCTTAAAAATGTTCACACTGCTAAGACTACACAATCTTCACCAGGGACAGGGGGGGTGACTGTTAGGAAATTAGCAGTACCAGTGCAAAAAGAAATGCAGAGCATGGTGGTCGAAGCAGTCGATCCAATCAAAGCTCAGATGGACCAAATTTTAAGACAAATAACACAAATAACTGAGCAATTTACAAATAGTATGCAAGCCATTCAAAAACAGGTGGCGGAAAACTCAAAGGACTTAGCAGAGCTGAAGAAAAACAATGAGAAGACAGAGAAGAAGATGAAAGTGGTGGAAGAGGACACAAGAAGGATGGAAGACAAACAACGGGATTATGAACAAGAGTTTATATGACTGCGGGTGGAAAAAGCGGCATATGTGTTAAGATTCCAGAACCTTCCAGAGGAAAAAGATGAAGACCTGCTAGGGAAGATGGCTGAATTACTGGCAGACCATATGGACATGGGAAAAGATGAAGTGGAAAAAGAGTTTGATCAAGCATTTAGAATGAATTCAGCCTATGCAAGATGGATGAAAGTTCCACGGAAAATTCAAGTATGCTTCTATAAGAGGATGGTAAGGGACAAAGTA